CCAGTTCAAGCCAATTGGCCCAAGCTTAGCAAGGGGGAGTTAATAATGAGGAGGCGAAGGGTCAGAGACGGGGGGGACAGCAGACCCCAAGCTGCCCGGCATTTGGGGGCCTGAATGCCCGGCTGGCTGGATGGAAAAATGATAAAAGGCTGCACAGATAACCGCTTGTCTGCAATCAATAGGACACAAATGCACCGATTGTGTCTTTCCGGGAGGTGTGAGGGAGGGTGATATTAGCTTATTTTTCAAGTAGGCAGCTTGTGATCTGACTCACAGTGTAATTGACGAATGGAATGAAGGAAGGAAAGAGGAGGAGGGGGGAGAGGGATAGACACTGAGAGGAAGAGGACACGAGCGATATGGAGAATAGAAAGTATCTGACACCCGACACAACTCCTCTCCCCTGCCATTAGGCTAATTCTTTGACTTTCTCTTGTTGCCGATAGCTTCTCCAAGTGATCCCCACACACACACACACACAATATAACGGCATTACCAGAGGCTGCCTTTCCCAATGCAATCAAACCATTAAATACAGCTCTGCAGTCCTGCATGGAGCGATTTCCCTCCAATAAGACGACTGGACCGGAGCTACTCGCCTTTCCTGTCATCAATAAAAGGAACGATTTGCATGCACATTGATACATTTCTTAGAAATAATCATCTAGTTAATATCAAAGCCATGCAGGATTTTTTTCTACAATTCCACACAATATGAGGGAGAAAAGGATTTATTTTTGCATTTAAAGGAGGGCAAATATGGATACATCTAAATAATTGATATTTTATGTTTTATTTTTTAATACAACAGAAAAAAGCGTATGTTTCTTTAACAAATCCATCAGACTTGCGGGTAGGCTGCAATTTCCGGTAAAAAAGAAAGAAACGCATTTGGTTTGAGAGTGAGACAGAAGCGCATCCAGCATCGAATGATTGCACCCGTGATTAGAACGGCGACAACGAGACGACGACGCCAAGTTTCAAGGTGCAAAACTGCGCGGGGACGCGGGGTGGGGGAGAGCGAGGGGGGGGGGGGCGATCACGTGTCGGCGTGTTCAAACACTTGTTATTTACCGGCGACGCGTTCATTTTCAATTACCGAACCGCGTGTCAAATTAGCTCCTTTATGGGGTGTTTATTAGCACAACGACAAAAAAAAATTAAAATAAAACACGCCGGGGGCGATGAGGGGGGGTCGTTGTGCTTTTTGATAAAGAATGATGAAGAATTAGTGCATATTGATAGGATTTAAAAGGCCGTGACATAGATGATATATATATATATATATATATATATATATATATATATATCATATATATGTTCATTTAATTGCTTCCTTAAGAGAGAGATAACCTTTAGCTTTTCAAACACCTTGACCGTGATTTTCAGCTACTTCATGTTGATCTACGGCGGGATTAAAAATTGGTAAACTGGTTTCCTGATTATTAGTAGTAGTAGGTTTTTTTTGAGGGGGGGGGGTTAAAATAAACTACCACCCCTGCGCCGATCGACCCAGCAGGACATGTGTGAAACGGACATTCATTTTAGTTCACTTCTAGCCGCGCGGGGGATCAATGCTGAGCAATAACAGCTGACTGCTGAGAGGGAGAGAGGGGGGGTCGGTGGGGTTGGGGGGCTGACAAATAAATCATCTTTTGCTGCTTTTCGTACACTTTTTTGTGTTGCGCCTACACAGACTAGTCCTCCGGGGAGGGGGAGGAGATGAGGCCTAAAGAGAGGAACGCGGAGACATTCGTTCTATTAAATGTCCAGATTTTACAAAAACAAATGTGCGTTAAAAAGAGGTTCCGTTTTATTTTGCCTCCTCAAAAAAATAACCGTGTTCAGATTTTTGGACCGACACTCGGCATCACTGCGTGTGCTTCATGTGTGTTGCCGGACTCTGGGTGGATACCAAACAGGAAAGGAACTTATAATAAAAACACAATTAGTTAACTCTAAATTTGACTTCCATGGAAGGAGACAATTAAAAACACGACGTAGACGTGGAATAAAAGGAAGCGCGCTGATGTGCAAAGTTCAGCGGGACATAATGAGATCAGGACAACGTGGGGGATCACTCGGGATTGCCACACAAAAATAGATTGTAATTAATCTAAAATTGTTTATAAATATAAATGAAGTTTTAATTTGTCTTAATTAAAAATGAACATCGGTCAATTGAAATCCTGTCTAATTACATTTTAGTCCTTAAAATGGCGCAAAGGGCCAGACAATCCATCCATCAAATGTGTCGTGAAATTTAATTTTAAAAAAATGAAGAATTCAGAATATGAGAATTCAAGAGAAGTACGCAGGTTTTGTACCCTGAAACAATAAATGAAAGCCAGCTCCACTCTGCGTGGCATCAATCCTCCAAATGAATGCGCTGCGTGTTTTATATCACGGGGAATAGGCCGCGCGCCCTCGCCTCTAGTGCACAAATGACATGGATGATTACACGTGCTCCCTTTTATATAATTGTGTTAATAAGAAAATATGATAAGCTTTAACCCCCCCATCCCCCTCCCCCCCACACCCCCCCGCACCCGGAACAAACCACCAGGTACCTACTGTTTATGATGCCATTTAACATGTTGTAAATATCGCTCGTGTAACGTCTCTCCTCCTCCGCAATTTCCCACTTTTAAAAGACTATTATTGCTCAGTGCGCGTGCGTGCGTGTGGGATGAAAAGGTTCGGCTGGTTGGTCCGACAATCAATACGATCAATGTGAGGGGATTCATCACGCCGGCTTCCGCTGCATCGAGAGATTTTTTTTTGAATAAGAAAAATAACTTTAATTTAAATCTTAAACTGTGCAGTGAGTTAAATGACTTCGATGACCCCCCCCCCCCCACCCCACCCCCTTCCGTCCAAACGTGCGTTATTTACACGCTATTTATTGTTGGCAGTGAGGTGACTTTTTCAACTTTGAAATGACGACTAACAGGTCAGCTGCCTTTAACCCCCCCGCACCCCCCCAATAGTAATTGTACTATTCCCTGTTTTGAGTGTGGCGGCTTTGAGGCGGCGGCGCGCCTGGATCCGTGCGCGTTTAAGCAACTGCTCACTTCTCTGTTCATTTACAAAAAAAAGAGCAAACCTCACAAAAAACTGTCATTAATGTGATTAAGTCAAAACGAACATTCCGCCCCCCCCCCCCCCCCCCAAAAAAAAGGCTGCACAAATTAGTGATATTTTTCTTCACTATAAAAAAATAAAATGTAACACAAAAGATCAAAAGTGATTTAGATGAGTTAACAAAATACCAAAATAAATAAACACAAAGTCACATATCCATTTGTCCGCGCATGTTACACCGAATAAGGGCTTATAATTTGTATAAATACAATAAATGAACGAATGAAACGAAATAAATGTCACACCATGTCCAGAACACAAATAATATGAGGGGATCACACAAATATAGAAATGATTAAACTTTGTATCACAAAGCCGTGGGAGTTGTGAAATTATCATTAAAAAATATAAAGCTAACTTAGGTGAAAGATAATACTCCTTTCTTCATAATGAGACGGTAAATCCCCCAAAATGTTCCTAAAAAGTTACTGTTGTATCCGGTAAACCGACGCAGCAGCGGCGGCGGCGGCGGGACGCTCTCAACAAGCCGATTTCGGTTCACTGTGCTCGGGCACGGAGCCGCAGGGCCTCCGGGACCGTCTCTGGCTGAGAGCTGCTTATTTAGGGGGGGATGTAAATTATAGCGGCTCCCTAACAGGTGTTTCCAAACGGTGTGTGCCTGCCCGCATATATGTGTACGTGTGTGCACGCGCACGCGCATGGCACACGGCAAATCGAGTTTATTTTCTTTTTGAATTCAAGCCGTCTGTTTCTTTTTGAGAGAAACAATTGAGAGAATCATTTGTTGCGCATTCGAGCGGTTGCGCCTTTTCTCCGCTCTCTTTCTTCTCTCCCGCCGTCTAGTTTCTGTTTCACTTCTTTCCCCAAATATTCACATTATTTCATATTTTATATGTCGCAAAATAAAACCAGTTATCTTCTAAACCGGGGATCCAAACGCAAATTCCTTCTATGCTGATTGGCAATCCTGCAATCGCAGCGAGGTCGTGGCAGGAGTGCTTCGTAAATACTGGTCTATATGTGTCCGGGATGCGTTTAAATCAGCCTCGTCGGGGGCTTTTCAGGACCCCACAGCACCGGGGCCAAAATGCAGCAGTGTGAGCCACATGTCCCATCTAAGCGGGCGCTCTGGTTCTGCAACGCAACGCTCAGCCTCAGTGAAAATAACCACTTTTCTTTATGGGAAAACCTAAAAGTCAACTTTGAGATGAATAAAACCGCCAACGGGCCCGCTGAGTAACGCTCATTACTGAGGATCACATCTCACCGGCTAATACGGGGAGCTCTGCAGCAGCAGATGCGTTGTTTCTTTGGCGGACCGTGATTGTATTTTGAATTGTTTTACTGGGAGGTTTGAAGAAAAATAATTAAATTCTATCCATTAATACTGATGGGCAACGACCCGCCTTCAATCTAACGCGGTGACAAATCCCGTATTAAGAGTTGTTAAAAAAGTGAAACTATTTCCTGCACTGTGACCGAGCCACACTTGTAATGCAATAATGATGCGCGGTGGTGGTGATGTGTGCGTAACGGCACTGACACGACACGCCATACTCCATATATTTGGATGTTTTGCAGTCTCAGACGGGGGGGGGGGGGGTGTCATAGATGCACGCGCACTGGAGAGACCCAAACAGACCCAAAAGTGAAAGCTCCAAGCGGAGACGGGCCGGTCCATGACCTTCTATTTTTTCTGTTTATATTACGCGCAGAAAAACGGCACCGCGCCGCCGCGTCGAGAGCGCACGATCCACGAGTAGAGAAGCAAAAGTTGAACGAAAGGACTCCAAACAGAGAAAGAAAACGGGAAAAGGCTTGGAGAGACTGAGCCCCAAGCCCAACAACAACAACAACAACAACAACAAGCACCACAAACAGCCAGGAGTACTCACCTCGCCGTGGCACAATCCGCTTCTTCTCGCAGACGACTCCTTGGTTTCCGGCTCCTGCTTCTTCTTCCTTCCTTCCTTCCTTCCTTTCTTTCTTCTTTTTATCCTCACAACCAAACCGAAAAAGTTTTCTGCGGAGCGGAAATATCAGTAGCAGTGGCAACCTCTGCCTCTCGCGCGGCAGCACCGGAGATAACGGGAGGCGCTTTGTGGAAGCGAAAAAAGTAGTTAACACCTCCCCGTTAGGTTACCAAAGCGCAGCCAGAGAGGAGGACGGAGAGAAGCGGGGGGTGGGGGGGAGGGAGAGAGAGAGAGAGAGAGAGAGAGAGAGGGAGAGAGCGAAAGGGGGCTCGGGGGGGAGAGACTGACTTTCCTCGAACGCAGCGCAAAGTGCGTGTGTGTGATTATGAGTGCGTGTGATTGCGTGTGTGTGCGCGCGCGCGCGTGTGTGTGTGTGGGGGCAGAGGGGGGGCTGTGGAGGCTGTGGGGGCTGTGGGAGTATCAATAGCGCGATCGCGCGTGCAGCCCCTCCGCTGAAACACCGAGAGGGACGATCAAGTGAGGAGTGAGAGGGGAGAAGCCGCGGATCGCAGAGACGGCGGCGGCGGTGCGAGAGGAGGAGGATGGGGGGGGGGGGGGGGTTCTCACAGGGCTCAACGTGTGTGAGGTTAAAGCTGGGCTGAGTGTGGAGTAAGGGGGAGGGGGGGGGGGTCCAGGGTCCACAGCGCTCCGAGGAGCAGTGCTGCCGCGCAGCGCTCAACGACTGACTGACAGACGCGCAGACACAATAAGGTGTATGTGCATTATGTGGGAACTCATTCCACCACAGCGCTGCTTAAACAGGTATTTCTCGCATTCCAACCCGATCATTTCTGATTATTTCCCAATGTTAATTTCCCATATCGGGAAAAATACTTGTAATATTTCTGCCGTGGAAACTTTGCCAAAGGTGTGTTTCTCTTTCCGCAAAATTAAGTGTATTGTCCGTGTGCATGCATGGACACTGCCCCCCGTCTGGTTTGGTTCCCCTGGGTGATTTCCACTGCGCTTTGTGCGCAGAGTGAATGAATTACCCCCCTCCCTCTCCCTCCCTCTCCCTCCCTCCTTCCCTCACTCTCACCCGGCGGAGTGGCTGCTCGCCATAAAGCCAATGAAGTCCACCTCTTAACAAAAAGAGGTGGACTACCAGACACTCTTAAAGTGCGCACTAGAGAGACTGGAGTTCTAGTGGGACCGCGGGAAAGTTCAACCGATACATCAGCCGTGTGGCAAAACCCCGCCATTGATCGACCGAAGCACCTCGAGGACGTTTACAGAGCATGCGCACTTGATGGCAAAGGTCATGGCTCGAACCAGTGAGCTCCTTTTTATTCTAAAATGTTTGACCAAAATCCCGCCAAACCTCATCTTAGAAACATTGTTTTGCAAAGATTTCTGGAATTTTTGATTCTTTGTTAATTATTATTTAACTCCATTCAAGATGACAATACGTTTGTAAAAAAAAAAAAGAGTTTGCAACGTCACAGAGCTTCTTTGAATCTTCTCACCTCCATTTCAACTAACTGAATACGGAAAACGTTTCAATGCCAACTCATTCTTGTCACAAACCCAAGTTCTATCAGCTCTGGAATAGTTCCAAATCTGTGGGTGGAGGGGATCGGATGCAGGAAATTAACACACATCATTTGAGCATAAAATGTGTTAGTGTGTGTTTTCTCAGAAAGAAAGAGTGTGTCAGGCAGAGTGAGCGGGACAGGGAGAAAAAGGGGCCTTCTGTCCCCCTGTCTTCCTCTCCACTACACCCCCCTGCTGGTCGCACCTGGAACTGATCTCACCACACTTACTTTTTTTCTTCTGTGACAATTCACTTAGAGTCAGGGAGTGTTTATGTTGACATGGTTTATTTTGAACTGGGCAGTGAGGAGGTTATAAAAACACCAAACCAATATGGGGCACTATAATCGGATCGCTCTGGATGGTCAAGAACATAAGGTGTAAACTAACAGTGGCATATGTACATGTGCACTTTGTGGTAAAATCCTATTTTCAATTTTAAAATGCTTAACCTCATCAACACAAACACAATATGCCTATGAATCATTTTTGACTTCACATTTATTCGTTATTATGTAATTTCTCCCTAAATGTGACTCCTCGGACCTCCACGTCATCGCGCTGGATGAGTGTGGAACTATGAGTCGGTTTCAAGCTGTAACCTACGGATGCTTAAGGTAACAATAGCGTGGGAAAAGTGAAGGGGGCCGTGTGTGTGTGTGTGTGGTCTCATGCACACGAGGGGCAGTAGCAGCAGTAGCAGTGCCATTAGTGGTGTGTTGTCTTGCTAATAGGCTCAGTTTGGAGTCAATGGGCTGACTGAGGAAGAAGACCATCCATGTATTAGATCCCTCTCTATTCAAAGTCTAATACCACTCATCAGGCCCACCCTCTGATGTTTTCAAATGCTGCCTCTGTGCGTATTGACTATAGGAAGCACTTTGATAGCACCTGTTGCCCTGCTGATGCATCTGCCCTGCTTCTTCTCCCGCTTAAGAGCAAAGGCATTCAAGGGGCACTATGGAAGTGCTTAAAGCTTGTGTGGGACGAATGGAATCTTAAGCGGCGGACCCTCCACCTACCAAGGGTTTTATTCCCCTAGATTTTTAGATATTTGCATCTGCCTCCACACAAGGCGGAGAACTGTAGTTCCCAAACATTAAGCCAATGCAGAAGTACCTTGAACTCACAAAAATAAGTCTGATTGACTAGAAGTCTTTGGAAAAAATGACTATTTCTCACTTGATTTATTCCCTCAGTAAACATACGGCTTAAACATAAGTTTCTAGTTTCAAGTCTTCTTCAACACAGCACGATGTTCATTTAGGAAATGATGCCCCTTTTAGAGTCGCGTGGGTACTTAGTGAAAGCTGCTCCTCCTTCCTTGTCCGGTCAGGTAGACGTCCGTTTTTCTTCTTACAATCTTAACTCTTTCACAGTGTGTATTAAGTTCACAAAAGTCCATTGTAACATTTTATTGCCTGCTAATATTATTGGGTGTTTGGTTATACTCACACCCTCTCGTGTCACTTCTGGTTGCAAAAAAACAACGTGGCGACAGCTAAAATACCAAACTCACGGCTTCAAATCGGCCGTCCTCAAAGAATGAGTGACGTGAAGGTGACTGCGTCCGCCTCCTAAATACGGGTTGTGGTCCACAGCAACACACCGATGGAAGTAAAATGAGGTTTGGCTTTGTGCTTATGGCATTAGAACGATTGTTCAACAGCACCAACTGCTACATTCTTAGGAAAACTGAATATAAAAAAACAGCTACTGAGACAAGCACTTATCGGGTTCCAGACGAGGCACAAACGGCAATCTACTGTGTGAAACACCCCGACCTCTTTCTGATGTGTAAGACCAGTATATCAGTCTGAGTAGCATATGTACCTTTCTGCTACCAGATGCAGGGAACGGCTGATCAGCCATCCTCTCCGGCACAACGACGTCCCCTGGCTGAGGACATGACTGGAGTGTACAGCGCTGCGTGTTGGCAGACACGGGTTAACGCCAGCGCTCCCTCTGACTTACAGCAGCTTTCTGAGCAGCCATCTGAACCGAGTCATGTCCTCATGTGAGGAAACCCCTGACACCTCCCCTGAAATGACATGAGTGATAATGAAAAGCCGAGCTGACAGCAGAGGGGCCCCGGGCTCTCCTCTGACGGCCCGCTTTCCCTTCTGCTCTGCCGGGGCTTCATCCTTAAATCCAAAACCACTTTTTAAAACTGAGCTTGCAGGGCCGGACCGAGGCGGGTGACGGGTCACGTGTTCGTTGCTCGTTGGTTCGGCCACCAGGTGTTTTAACAGAGCGATCAGGCGCTGCTGGAGCCCTCGTCACTTTCTTTGGAGGCGTTTGGAGTGTACGCAGATAAAGACACCCAGCAGGCGGCCCCCGTCTGTTTTATGACTTCAACCTGTAATCCTTTGATATTTTAAAGCTGCTCAAACTTGACCCTGCCTGCCACCCATTGACTGAAGTAATACCCTGTTAGGTCCTTCACACCACGTGGGACTTAATTCCTTAAACCAACCATGTTTGAGTGTGATTTACGCTAATCTGGACAGGCGACGGTCATTTCTATCTTTCCTTTAATAATTTACGATCGGTGGAATTTCATAGCGCCGGCTCCCCAGCCGCGGATGCCGGCAAATCCATATGTCTGTAATATAATGAGATTTAAGCGCAGCAAGATTATAAATTATGGCGTGATTTGTTCTCTCGCTGTTTTGTCAGGGCACAGCCTTTGAGCGTGTGTGTGTGTGTGGCTTGGGGACATGGCTGGCATTTGGCTGCCACGGCGCTCTAATTGCTGACGTACACACAGATAGATGGGACCTGATGGTTGGTGTCGCCACTGGAGGGAGGAAAGAAGGGAGGGAACAGGGGGAGGAGAGGGGAGGACGAGTAGAAAGAGGACGAAGGGAGCCGGCTGACCTGAGGATAAAGGGGAGGAGAAAAGGCAAGTGGAGCATGGACGGGCGGATGGATGGATGGAGAGTTAGGAGGACAGATATTGTCTTGTGGCGGGAGACGCAGCTGCCAGCAGCTACGAGGCCAAGCGGTTATCCACACTGATGGAGCCACATTTAGAGAAAGCAAAGGGAGGGGAGGGCAGACTCAGCCACATTCATCTAACGCTCGGATCTGTTGCTCCAGGGAGCTGTTGGAAAATGAAGAATTACATGGCCCTGATCAGATTACATTACAGAACAAGTGATTACATGCACTTGACTCTTGTAAGAATGAAGAAAAAAAATGAAGGGAGGGAAAGGAAACATACGTGATCTGATTAATTATGTAATTATGTGGTATTTCTTCTGCTATGATACATGGGCAACAATCTGAGGGGAGGTAGATGGGTAATTTCATCAATGTTTCATTGCCTCCCGTCTAAACCGATACACGTGTTGGTTTGCCCAAGTCGTCACAAGTGCTGTTTTTATAAATACACTCACTGTCATTGTATTTGGTTTGTATTAAAGGGTTTCTGGAGTGGAGCTCCATGTTTGAATTGAACACTTTATACATTTGATAGTTTCAAAACCAGCAGTCCACAAGCTTTTCGTTGTCACTTCCTCTACAGCTCCGGCAGTCAATGCCAACGCTTCTTCTTTTTACAATCAACGTTGATTTGGAATGATTGCGTTCCTCAATATCTGCGCATGAACACTTGGTTTGGTGTTGTTATATTTGGCTCTTTG